TTGCAAAAGTTTGTAAAAGTTTCATTTAAATCGCCGAGCGCGCGTGTTCGAAAAAAAAACCCCCCGTTGCGGCCGTTGTTGCGATGCGGAGATTGCGTCGCCCGACTTTCTATTTTCAATTTGCCGCTGAAAATTATTTATTCGTTATTCGCACGCGACAATGTAATTTTAATATTAGAGTGTAGTATAAATAACGATTGTTCAACTGCACATGGTTCTTTTACTCATTTGCTTGCACACATATATTATACGCATATATTTTTACAAGAGAAATAGAGAACACAGAGAACTTTATTGTTACTTTTTATGTACAATTTATATTATTAAGCGTTTTAATAAGTAGAGTTTCATTGTGTTTAAATATCACAATTTTTATCTCAACACAAAATGCCTCCAATGACTTTTCCGCGGGAAAAAAAAAGTTGTTAAATATAAAATATTTATAAGTACTTCTCTATGAAGCGCTTTTTGAGATAAAAACGACAGTTGCTCGATGGTTAATGAAAATTTCCGAATTCTTTTTTCCGGTGGAATAGATTTCTTGGAAAAAATGTGCGGTATAACCGTCCAACCAGCCGGTAGACAACGTGGGACGAATATAGCAGGATTCAGCGGCGAAAGCATGGAGCTCGTAGGAGTGCAAAATCATCGAGGTATCGTGTCTACCGCGATATTCGCGTACAATGCAGCGCCCGGGAGCTGCGCCGGGCGGACAATGGCTCTTTTTTCGTCGAAATGGAGAACAAGAGCGAAGGGGATGCGCGGCACAGACGCGCGCAGACACTAAAGGGAGAACGAGCGCGCGTGTACGCGCGGTAACGTAAATCATATACCTCCGAAATAGATTTCGAACGCTCGCTCGTCATGGATTGCGATACGCCATAAACGACCGCGCGCGCGCACAAATCCGATTTGAAATCTTATCTAAACCGCGCTGCGCTAAGCCTGTCGTTCGTTCTGCGTCGCAATCACGCGCGAATTAACGCGAAGCAACGATAGCAATAGCAATTTCTATCTCGTCGCACCAAAATTCCGCAACAACGTAATATAATTCCGAACAAGTGACAGGTATTAATTTAATATGATTGTCAATGCAAAAAAAAGTTACATGTGATGAAAGTGCTAAAACATATGTACGCGTATGCAATTAAACATCTACTAATTATTCGCATTTATTATACGCGCCGTGTTGTGCGCAGCTCATCAATTTAATTAATTTCAACCTATCGTGTGTCACGCGTAAAATTTTTTATCGTCGTCTTCGCGAACGCAATGAAAACAAAATCGATAGTAGTGATTTTATTTTACGAGCGTCACGCGCGTGCGAGTAAAACGAGTAAACTGGTAAACGATTTTCCGACTGCCTCGATCTTGATTTAAACAAAACGCTTAATCGATTGGGACGATCCAACAAAATCGTGATCGGTGAGCAAAATGCGCCAGTAATCGTTACTGGGTCGCGATTCGTTTGCTGAACGAATTTGGGAAGAGAACGAACGCGAGTATTGTCCGACGTTGCTCATGTTAAATACGTCGGTTTAATTACCAGTTAAACGCTGTAAACGAAGTTCGTTCGTATTGGTGCAGCCATTCGCGATTGATGTGTTTACTCGGGTGCGTACATAAATTACAGGAATACCGCGAATTATTGTTCCGCGTCTGTGAAATTTTATCACTTTTACATCGCGTATGAAAATATCTATTGATAGTCCGAATGTTGGAGCCCGACGATATATCATCAGTCGCACGTTTGCAAAATGAAAATTCCGGTTCTCATTAAGTGTTGCCAATTCCAATTAAAATAGGATTTTCAATTTCCGACGGAATATCAATTAGATACCAATTTTCAAGCGCCGCTTCGCTATAAGAGAAAATTCTGATTTCGATTCTGCTTTAATTACATTTGTCCAACGCTGATTGCCTATTATATGCTCCTAGAAAGGTTCTGACAAACTCCGAAGAGCTTTCTTCGCAAAGTAAGCTCTTCATCAACGTCTTTCATCTTCAATCGTTGCATCATATCGAAAATCAACTTTTTTTCTATTGTTTTCAATGTCTTGTACAATGCAACGAGTCACACAAGCGGAGAGATATTCTGATATGAATACTCTTTGCAATTAAAACTTGTGGTCGCAATATAGTTAATAAAATAGATAGAAATTTATTTTTTCTTTATATTTTTTTCAAATATAATGAGAGTTTCTAAACTCCAGATTTTTAGTAAAATTCTAGACTTATGAAATAAATGGAAAAATGTCAAAAGTAATAAAAAATTTCAAAAGTAAAATAAAAATATGTTGTGCTTTTTCAATCTCTAATATAAAATCAAATAGAGTACATTCTAAGATTTCCAGAATCCGATAGGTGAATAAAATAGCGCCCGCGAGCGATTTTCTAGAACGTAACAGGTACGTAAAGAAGACGAGGGATTTCCCAGGGATTTTTCACGACGGGGATATTCATTTTGAAGTCTCTTATACGCGATATTCTTATTTAATTCAATCTTTTAACCATCTTCTCATTCTCTCTTCATCTTATTCAGTTGGATCAGTATCACGCCGAACTTCCTTTATATATGTGTCGCAGTTGAGTTTCTCTCAGCTTCCAATCTGCTCGCAATCTCGCGGGACATCATTCGTCGGTCGGGACTCACTCGAATTCCAAAACCACCTCACCTCGCGTCGTTGCATTCGGGTTTATCGAGCGGATAGAGTATCCGTGTACGCGCCGTATAGGTTACGTGGTCGCTCGAGCTGCAAAAATTTTATGTGGAAACTACAGAAACTATCCGCGAGACACGATATTCCGGTCCACATAATAGCTTGTTTCGCGGACCATCCTTTCCGTTACTCGTGAACGGAAAGCGAACACATGGGGTGAATCGAGCGCGCTGTATTTCGAACGCGAGCAATTTCTTGCGCCGTACGTCTCTCCGACGATCGAATTTAGCAGGCGTGTATGTGTGGTTTTTATATTTTTTTTACATTTGACGTGCGCAACGAAAAAATTAAAATTGACAGTGGCGAGAGAGAAAATTGAGATGGATCTAAAATTTGAGCGATGTGTACAATAAATTTACAACGCAAATACAGGAAAATAAAAAATTTGATTAAAGTTTCTGAAAGCGACTTTTACTTATAGATTTTTCCGCGAAATCGAAAAATAAATGTTATGTAAATATGTCGCGTGTGTGTGTGTGTACACTTCGTTATATTTGATATGAAAAATGAGAAAAAACTTGTAAAAAAAACCTACACCGCAATATTGGAGACTTACCTTTTGCTGCGCCTCGTTTGCGGATATAAACCGCAAAAGGGGCGTAGGGGAAAAGCAACTGTTGTAATCCTTATCGGTGAGGAGCGACACGTGGGTCTAATTAAGTTCGTGTCGGTTCTAAGGATTTAATCCCATGGAAAACCGTTTCCGTGTTCACCGGAAGGTGAAAACGCTAAGACTCTGCGTCTTTCGCAATTCCGTGAAACTGTTCCTGGATAAATTGAAGATTGTCGAAGAAAAAAGACAAAGTAAACGCATAGATTTAATTTTCTGTTGTTGCTACCGCGACGAAACGGTGAATTTTTCTCGTCGGAATGTACACAAGAACACAATTAGAAATTGTGAGACACGGTTGAGATGCTCAGCGGAGAAACACTCGTGTTAATTTTGATTTGTCTTTTACTGAGTGCAAAACAAAAAAAGAATTAATAAGAAGAATAAAGATAATTAGATACATGACTATGCAGCACAATAATTTTTCATTTTAGTAGTAAAAACTTAAGAACAGAAGATTAATTAATTGTAGAGAAATGAGAATTCTTATAGAAGATGAACGACGACTAATTAGCAGCTTATTTCATTCAATTACCGCAGAGAGAGCTGATTTTATGTCATATAGTTGCCACATTGATGGTACACGTCCATTTTGTAAAATTGCAATGTCCGTAAAAAATGAGAAGAGAAGAGAGAAATATGCTAGAAAAATGCACATGAATAGTCGTATTTTATGCTACGTGTATATAAGAATTTTGCATAATTTATTCTTGTGACAATAAAAAAAAAACAGTTTATTTTTCTATAAAAAGAAAACATTTTTCCCGTTTCGAGTAAATAGTCTTTCACCATGTGTGTCGCTTGGACTTTAATATTTGTGGACTGCGCGAGACTAAATTACAAAACGATACTTATTAGATTGTTGACAAGTCGCTGAATCGGAGTTAACAAAAAAAAAATAAGCACTTGATGCGCGCACGCGAGTTACATAAATATCTGCCAATTGTAGTAACGTCGCTTGAAACGCGTCATGTTATTCTCGGACGATGTGCGTTCACCGGGTCGCAATAATTGCTCGTCTCTTCTCTCGCGATTAACCGCCTAATTTATCGCGACGACGAATGAAACGTTTGAGCACACAGCCGTCCCGATGATAGTTACGTAAAACGGATGGACACGTTAGAGCCCAAAGGTAATTTATCGGGCACTTAGCCTCTATGGTGATGTCATTTCTCGGAGCGCGAGAGATCATCTATCATTGTGCGGCCAGACAATCGTGGATTAGGATTTGCTTTCACGATTAAAACGGTTCGTTAAGGGTGAAGTAAGACGAATTGCCAGTCTATAACACGTGATCAATATATTCCTCTAAAGAGCTACCATTTAACTGTTAGATGAATCGTTCGATACCACGTTTTTCTTTATCAGACGTTATTAAAAACTAATTTCATTACCGAATACTTATTTTAAAAATTCTCTTTAGTATCAAACCAAATAAGAGATAAGAATCTGTGTTTACTATACATATCTTTACAACTTACTGTTAGCTAAAAGCTGTTATCTCGAAACTCTATATATAACTACTGATATCGTAACATAAAATCTTAAAATGTACGTGAGAAAGATTTTGTAATATTAAAAATAATAAGAATTTTTAAGAAATTTTACGAACTCACGATCTCGTAACATTTCAATTTTCTAAAAACGCCAGATTCCGATGTGGTACTCACTGATATTTTTCTCTCTGTATTGCGGCCGAGCATCACCGATGAAACAAACGAGGAGCATCCAGACTGCAAACCAACACGTTCCCATCTTGACCTGAAATAATGAAGCAACATACTGAATGGATTTAATTAAGAATTTGGTGGTGTAGCGCACTTTGCAGTTTCTCTACGACTACAATAGTATTGCAGCATTGTGCATTGCTCTTAGACAAGGCCATTACGACTACGTGCAGCAATAACGTAGCACAACTTTGTTTAAATATTTTAACGGAACGAACTCAATTATGCGTGAAATCAACGATCGACGGCGCACGTACTTAAATTTTCGAAAGTTGAGGAGAAACCAGTTTTTTTACCAGATTTCTTGAAAAAAAAAAAAAACGCTCACTTTAACTTTCAGTTAAAGCAGAATAAAACACACATTCTGCAGAATCGATACAACAAACGTGGCTGTATTCACAATAAATTCTGGCTGCTTTTGCTCGCTCGGAAGGAGCGCGTCGTCGTTTCCTTACGAAAACTTATCGTTTTTCCCGCGTTGCATCTCTTCCGATCCATTATTGTGCTTGTCGGAGCAAAGTTGCCGCCCGCAAAAGGACAAGCGTTTTAATTTACAAAAGTTTTGGATTTATGTCCTCGTCTGCGAGTGTTTTGCAACATCAAGTCTGTGAAAAACACGGAACCTCTCTGACATTGCAATATCCTTCGTTTGTGCTCCGCGTGCAACTTTTGATTCAATAAAATTCTATGATAATCGTATACACACACACACACGTTTCGCTTTATTGAGGAAGCCAACTTCCTACATAATGGTAATCCTAAATGTACACATATGTATATGAGCAAATGTATTATTCGTTCTCGCTGCGTAGTTCGGGAAGGTCGATGGCTGCGTTCGCACATTTCTATGACTATGCCGGATCATCGACCCATCTCGCTGAAGGGATAATGCTCCTTTAGCCGTCTACTGGAGCCGGGCCGGGAGACGATCCTTTGTGGCAATCGTGTGGATAATCGAAAACCGGGAGAGAAACGGAGTATGGAACATTCGCGGCGGTGAGGCGCAGCTGAATATTTCCGGGTTTTTAGCGCGCGCACGGAAATGTTATAAAATATTTCTTTGAGGATTTCGACCGCGCGCGGAAATATTTCGTTCGACAAGCGCGCTTCCGTGCGCCGGTGTACGGATCTTTATGTCAGTTTCCGCGAATATTATTCGCCGAAGCCATGCCGGAAGAGCGAAAAAGTTTTCCTCAGAGCGACACGGCCGCTTTATTCGCGAAATTAACGGGATTTCGTTGTCACGATGCTCTTGTCATTAGCTTCCGTGCTCGCGTTTTATCGCTTCACTCGTGAGAGAATACAAGCCGAACGTTCTCTCTCTGTCTCATTTTGCGACGTGATGCCGGAGAGCGTCAACTCGAGAAAACGTCGATCGTTCCCGGACGGTTGAAAACGTCCAGCAAATTGCCGCAATAAAGATCATAAAAAATACAGCTGATTTTAACACGTCGGATTTATCGCAAAATTTGTTCATTCTCATGCATTTCGAATGGCAATTTTTATGCGAGAGAACGAATTTTCGGCGAGTCGCGTTTCATAAAACGCACGCGAACGTTGTGTCATATTTTTGCGAGATAAATGGACGCGAGAAGGTAACCTAAAATATATTTTTATGTACTACATCATGTACTTGTAAAAGAGCGGATAAAACTGAAATAAAAAAAAAATAAAATAAACTACCTCTTTTTTTTGTATCAATTGACACCTTTATCGAAATTTAAAAAACACATATTATCAAAGCTAGAAAAAAAATCGGTTATTTTTACGCTTTTCGCCACGACCCACTCATGTAGATTTCGCGGATGAGCGAGCCGGATGAGCGTATGTGTTCGAAGGATAGACGTCTTCTCACTCAAGATGACGGGTGTATATATCCTTTCCGGAGAGGTTTACCGTGGCTGGTCTCTTCCGAGAAAATCCCTAGATGAACCGCGTAAAAGTTTCTATTCTCTCTACCGAAGAGAGAACACCGTCTAGCGCTCAAAAGCGAAGGTCCTTTCGACATCCTCGGGATCATCTCTCGACCACGAGTACACTCTGACACACGTGACTCCGCATACGCACGTACACACACGCTCGGCCCAACTTTACGATGAAATGATATCCGCGCGTGGTGGGGGCCACCACCCGAATCTTCATCGATCACTATATGTACCTGGCGGGGTCAATCTCGCCACGTATCTCGTTTCATGGTTAGCCGGCTCGAAAATATTCCCCTATCTCTTCTCATCGTGCCAAAAAGGGTGACTTTAGTGAGGCCGCCGGGACACGAAATTTAGAACCCGCTCTTCTCTGGAAGGTAAATAAAACGTATTCGGATCGTCTTTCTCGAATCCTTGAATTCATCAGAGAATCTCTGGGTCCGCCGATATAATCTGAGATTACTCGCTCTTTTTTCTTTTCTCCGTTTCCAATGAGACGTGAGATATCGCGCGAATCGTTTAAGTCAGTCTTTTGACAGAAAATGATACTAAGCGACAATAAACGATTCATTGAAATGATACTAATTCGCATATATTCTCAAGATTTACATTTATTTTTGCTAAAGTCACCACTGCGTTTAATTGTCTGAATACGAGAGTTTTGGTCAATAATAATATAAAACTACTACAAAGCGACAATTATATGGTCGGTTAAATGGTATTATAGTCAGAAGCAGTAAGTAACTTAACGCGTAACTATTATTTTGTTCCGAATCTCTAAGTAAGTCTTCGGAGTACTTACCAAGAACTGAAAGCAGTCTATAACTTCAGTAAGTTACCAATACACATAGTTATAAGTAGCGCACAGTATCTTGTTACTTGAGTAAGCTGATACAAAATGTGGTTTTAATTCTCAATAGCGTCTTAAAATAATTTATTTAATGTAATTGCAATAATGAGAATTGCTGAAAAAAGAGAATAAAAAAAATAAAAAAATGAAGATAAGCTCAATGCACGCAAATCTTAAATAAAAACAAAAGACAAAAGAAGAAGCGAGGTTGCTAAGAAAAACAGAGAATCGACAAGAATGAAAAGATTTGTAAGACGAATTTCCGCGAGCGAGATGTTGCCCTGTCCGACCGAATGATAATTAGGACTCTTCGTCATTGAGGCTGGCGAGCCAGCCAGCGCTTCTTCCAAGAGAAAGCTCCATCGATCGAGCAAACTTCTCTTGCTAAGTAGTTCTTTAGGAATTAAACTTTGGTCTTGTAGCGCGAAAAAATATACTTTCTTTAAAAAATTGAAATTTTTACACAAGTTAATCGCAAGGTACAAGTGCCAAAGAATTAACTTAATTAGCAATAGCAAGTTTCTTTCGCATGCGCATGTTACGAGGAACTATTTGGTATTGTAATTAATAAATATAGCGTCTCGAGAGGGATGTCAATTATTTTTAGATAACAATTGCAGCGATAATTTCACGTGAAGTTTAATGTAAAGACTTCTGCTAATAATGTATAATGAAAAACGTATATTATTCAGCGTTTAGCTCTCAAAGTCTTAATTCTTAATTTAGTAAAAAATTTTTAATTTTAGTAGTTTACTTCGCGTTCAATTAGTCTTTTATTCCTTTGTTAGCTTTATTACAATCTCATTAATTTAGTCTAAAAATTACACGAGTCAGCAGAAAAACGCAAAAAAATATCGTCGTAAAATAGCCTCGAAGGTAAACAATATCCTCGTCAATCGAGGGATCAGCGGGTTATTAACAACGGCATGGCGGCAATAATCACGGTGAACAACGGCGCCAGATAACCGAGCGATATTGTAGGAGAACAAGTATCCGGAAATGACTTTTCTGAACGGCGCACGATATTAAAAGTTATTAATGACGTTCTTGAGCCTTCGTTTCATCTTATCCCCTCGCGGAGAAGAGAGAATTAAGGAAAGTGCGAACGCGAACAAAAGGATGAAAAAAGACCAGAGAAAGAGAGATAAGAGTTCAGTTCTCTCTCTTCTCCCGGGAAGAAGAAAGTTCGCGGTATCGCGTGAATAAAGCATACCCGAACGTTTGGCGCGCTTGATTCGCCGTATTTTATCCACACGGGTTACCGTTATTATCTCTCACCGCTGCCACAGCGTCATTCTTAAGCTGCTCCATCGTCCGTCCACTTACTCTGTCGTTATTGCACGTCGGAAACGGAGTGTAAAGCCCGGGATATAAATATAAACGACTGTCGGATGTTCGAGGTGAGGAAGAAAGAAGAGAGGATAAAGCGCGCGACATTTTTGCGCCGGTAGTTGTTGCGAAATTACGAGAGCTCGATAAATGCAGAACTGTTTGTTCATGACACGTTATCGCTTTACCTTCGAAAGAAACTAGATGATAGGTGAAAGAGAATTCAAAACGGATCGATACGCGATGGAACATAAAGATTATCTTTTTCGTCGCGAAAACGTATAAAAGCTACTAATATTCTGCTTGGTGTAAACAGTCATATCTCTCTTTTGTTCTGTATTTTTAAAACAATTTTATATTGCATCATAAGCGAGACAATAATAATTTAGTAAGTGGCGGGATGGGAAGTGCCATTTGATTTCTTTTTATCTATTTATTGCTCGAGACGCGCGACAAGGTACGAGAGATAGACTTACACAAGAGATAGACGAACGATATTTGGAGCATCCATTCCGAAGGTGAATGGTATCGAAACAAGCAATAAAGAAATACGACAAGAATCGTCGTCCGCTTTCTTTTGTCACGCCAGACTATCTCGAAGTGCGCTTTACGTAGCACCAGTTTATTTCCGGTGGAAGTGGAGAGAACGTATTATAGCAAGCCGCAGTGCGGAGAAGCGCACGAGTGATAAAATGGAGTACCTAGTCAGACACATCGAACGATTCGCTGTTGTCTTTTTTTCTTTTTTTTTTTTGTAAGTTATTTTGTTCTCTATCTCTCGTCGCGCCCGTCTTTCTATTACACCGTTCCACTATCGCATTAGCAGTAGACGCACGTCACCCGCGAGTTTGGCAGGTGATTTCGAGGGCACGCAAAACAAACGAGAAATATTGCTCGAACGAAACACGACGTAAATAATGCTCGACAGCG